GACAAAACTAAATTAATATCTTTATTGTATATCTAAATAGTGTTTGCAAAGTACCCTATAAGTAAAATTGTTGACCAAATCTGTTTGCTGACGATTCCTATCGAAAAATATTTCGATAAAATAACAAAACGGTGTAATGAATCATGTTATGCAGTTTAACAAAGTACCACTTCAATAAATTGGGAGTTATGTAAATATGTTACCGTTAAACCTAACAAGTGTCAAACCCGTTATAGCCAAGTAATATAATGGAAAAAAGGACTAGGTCGATGTATCTTGCACTGTCTATCGTTATAAAACAAACATTAATATCTTCTTATTCAATTTCAATATATCTTCCTACTGCTGCACGTCATATAATAGTTTGTGTCCTGACTGTGCTTAGAATAATATGGAATAATATCAAGTCACATAGTGAGTACCTACTTATTAATGGATATTTGTGTAACTTGCATCTATGGTCGTCACAGACTAATTTATAGTGTATAATAACTATGCTCAGCTTACGTAGTAAGGACCACAGAATAATAAATATTTAGCAATCTAGTACGGAGTACGGAACCTTATTCGGTATCGATGTTGCTAAATATTAAATGCCAGTTACAATCAATTCTGAGTTAATATTAAAATGGATTTTACTCAATTCATTTAAGCTAATAAGTATTATTCATCAATCATTAACTTTATGCTACTTAGTAAAAAGTCATAAATTCGATTTTGGAATTCTTTTACTACATTGCATGCTGACAAGCCTCCTCCCTTATTTATTTACAGATCGTTCAAAATGTTCCAATCACAAGTCCCGGCAATAGAACCATTCGATTGTGAAGGCGATCCAACCTCCATAAGTTTCCGGTGGGGCAGATGGAAACGTGCATTAGAAATATATTTCGTAGCAACAAATACCAATGACCAAAGTACAAAACGCGCCATGTTATTGCATTCCGGAGGCATGGCGTTACAAGACATTTACTTCAATATTCCTGGTGCCCACGTGACTGATCTTGACGCAACTGGCATATATGATACTGCAATTAAAAAGTTGGACGAGTATTTTTCCCCCAAACAAAGTTATTTATTTGAAAGGCACATCTTCCGGTTGATGAAACAAGAACCGGACGAGAAGTTTGAAAAATTCTTGGTTCGTCTAAGAAGTCAAAGTTTTAAATGCAATTTCGCCAATGCAGATAAAATCTCATTGACCAAATAATAGAAAAGTGTAGCTCAACCAAATTAAGAAAGAATATTTTAGTACTTAGTGACACGGCAACAATCGAAAAAAATCGTAGCAGAGGCAAACTCCCTAGAAACTGTAGAACGGCAGCTTAACGAGTTCCACGATAGACAGAGCACAACAACTACCAGCCTTAATAAAATCGACACTAAAACAACGAAACTGTATTCTAAAAAAGAGGTTAACTTCTGTAGCCGATGTGGCAGTAAAAATCACAAAAGTGACAATAGTTCCTGCCCTGCAATAAATTTGAATTGTATGAAATGTGGTTTCAAAGGACATTTCCAGAAACACTGTAGAACAAGGGCCAATAAAAGAAAAAATGCCAACCTCTCGTCAAATGACAACCATAAAGTTAAGAAGCCCAAAACAGAAAACACCAAAAACGGAGAGCCTACATCTGTAGACTATATTTTCCACATCGACGACGATGCAACAATAGATTGTCAGGTAGGTGGGATCAACATATTTTGTTTGTTTATCGTATTAATAAAATAAATTAATATATAAAAAGGAAGAGATGTGATATATGTATAATTAAATATAGTACACAGACCAACGGTGGTGCCTCACTCGCATTGCCGATCCGTCATCGTTGGCGAGTGGACGTTGTCGTTGTGCTGTGTACCTACTTACTGATATAGTTGTTTTACTAAAATCCTACACTTAAATTAGTGGACACCACAAATCCAAATCACTAGCTGGTTATTTAAGCTAATATAATAAATTTGTAAGTTGAAGTCAAAGGCGAAATATTTTTATAATTTATTTTTCCTTAACAAAGCAATATTTTGCCATCTCTTCAGCAAATCCCTACAGCGGGAGACTTTTTGAGAAAACTATACTACTGGAAACTAAGTTATTTAAATACTAATTCTCTTAAATGTAAAATCGGGTTTCCATATGCTACTTGTTATACCGATATGCATTCACAACCTGGATTCAAGTTATAAATAAATTAAATTAATGTGTCTATTCATCGTGGTTAAATAGCGTAGGTTTCCTTCCCTAGCGAATATTTTGAGGTTAATAATATCCAACAGCACTTAATACCGGTTTGATATACCTAATGCTGGCTTTGCTATAAGCGATAGGAAAATTATACGTAGTGTAAAGGAGTTGTATATGTTGTATGTAGCATGCAACAGATTAAATGAAACATGTAGCTTGTACTTGATTACGTAGCTTCTACAAACAGTTTGAATAAACACTTGGCTGTTTGATCGAGTCATTATGTTCTCGTTCGTTTTCATAAAATTACTGTGTTTGACTAAGAAATATGCTCATTCAGACAAAGCATTTTGGCTCCAACGTTGTCTAAAAGTGCCTTTCAATTTGTTGCCCGGTAATATTCACATTAAAACCTCATGTCAACTGCAAAAGCTATATTTTTTTAAGAAATGGGGTCACAATCTAGCACCTAGTATACTAGATGGTTAGTGGATGCTGTGGCCCATATACAATTACATTTATTATCAGTTAAGGATCAAAACACAGATGCGTTATCACCTTATGTTAGACTAAGATGGAATGAATCAGTTCCAGTAAAAAGAGTATCTAGGTCTCTACACTTACAACACGAAACGAAGCAGCATTAAGCTGCTATTATCGCTGGTATTCTGTGAGACCGTGGTCCTACTCCGACTGATATATCTGGATTAAAAATCATAATTCAGATGCATTGTTTTCCTTGAGGAACAACATAGACATTTTTACGTGGTAAAGCCATGCTGCAGTTACATTAGTAGTATAGTTATAGCACGAATAGGTCGGCTCGACCGGGGAAGGACCACGCTCTCACAGAATACCAGCGTAAAATAGTAGCTTAATGCTGCTGTGTTTCGTATGGTGAGTGTAGATAACCGGAGACCCTTTTAACTGGTAACGAGGCATTCCATCTTAAATCTCACGGGTGACAATGCATCTGCACTTTGATTCGTAGTCGAGGATATATGTAGATGTCTATGGGTCACAGCAACCACTTACCATCAAGTGGACTGTTTGCTCGTTTGTCACCCTATCCGATAAAAAAGGGTCTCCGGTTCTCTACACTTATCCAAACACAGCAGCATTATGCTGCTATTTCACATTGGTATTCGTTCCCCGATAGAACCAACTGACTAGTGCTACCCGTTCCGGCTCCGGCTTCGCTTGGTTATTTAGATTCAAGATAATCAAGAACAGTTTGTTTTAGTAATTTGAGTTTTTTATTAAAGTTTTCGGATAAAATATAGTCTAAATTCCTTCCTGCGTTGCTTTCTATCTGTTTTTGAAGTTTCATCACAATCAGTTCAGCCATTCCGAAGATTAGCCCGCACAAACAAACAAACAGACATACATTTTAAAAATGATGGTTTATGTTTTATAGCATGAAAATAAACCTCTTGTATCCTTGGCCTCGCAAAGGAACACCGAATCCCACCAAGGATGACACGCAAGGACATTGAAATTTAAAAAAAAAACATTCTAATTTCAGTACAGAAGATGGATGGGCGTTTCTATCGGCGTGGGAACCGATAATAAAGAAAATTAAATCCAAACCCAAGCAAACCACTGCAAAACTTCAAGATACTGTAAGCTCGTTCTGCGTAGATGTGACTAAAACTGAAGGTATTATATACTGAAGGTAGTATATACTATTCAAAAACTGAAGGTAGCTGGGTTAACTACGACAGCGGGACGTCAAACATCTCAGTCCCCCCGTGACCTTGGTGCTTTAAAGCATCCAAAACATCGGGAATAAAAAAAAGGACGTGTGGCACTCGGGGACTGCCGCGGTAAAGCTATTATTATTATTATTATTTATACATAAACACACTAGCAGCTAAAAAAGCTGATGCGTGTGCATCTTAATGTTTGGAGATTTTATCCAATCTGTTCTTGAAGGCGTTCAATGTAGGAGCATCAATCACATTTTGTGGTAGCTTATTCCACTCGGTGACAACACGGTTTGTTATAAAATTCTTCATGGGATTCCGCTTGGCAGTCCTATGGCAAAGTTTAAGTTGATGTCCTCTCAGACGTTTGTTGCTATTTAGTAAGTACAAATTCGGCAGAGTAGGAACATTGTAATATCCTGTCAGTATTTTGTATGTTTCAATCAGACTACCTCTCTGCCTACGGTTCTCTAGTGTTGTGAGGTTAAGCTTTCTCATTCGCTGCTCATATGTCATGTTTCGCAGTTGTTTTACCATTTTTGTGGCCCTCCTTTGAACATTCTCCAGTATTATTATATCTTTACGAAAATACGGGTCCCATATCACATATGCAAACTCCAAAAGAGGTCTTAAGTACGTTCGGTAGATCTTGTTAAATATTTTAGGAGTGAGACACATAAAGCTTTTTCGAATCATATACATCATGGAGTTTGCCTTTTTTACTATGTTAAGGATATGAGTTTCCCATTTGAGGTCACTGGTTATTGTAATGCCAAGGTCTTTTTGTGATTCAACAGAAGACAATGGGTGATCACCTAGATAATATGTATTTCGTGGATTATTTTTCCCTATATGTAGAACCGTACACTTGTCTGCATTCAGTGTTAGGAGCCAATCACTAGTCCAATCGTAGATGGCATTTAGATCTTGTTGTATAACTTGATGTTGCGTAATAGGGTTCCCAAAAAATTTTGTGTCATCGGCAAATAATGAGAATGGTAGCTGTAACGTGCTCTTCAAATCCGATAAATATAGGATAAATAATAATGGTCCAAGAACAGATCCCTGCGGAACTCTGCTGAGTACTTCCCTGGGTTTAGACATTGTACTTCCAACTCTCACGCAGAATGTTCTGTCTGACAGGAAATCACTTATCCAGGCCAACAATTTCCCGCGTATACCAAAGTGTTTTAATTTGCATATAAGTCGCCTTAATGGCACACGGTCAAAAGCTTTTTCATAGTCAAGATATATCACATCTGTAGGTAATCCATTGTCATGGTTTGAGACCCATTCATTAACACATTGTAACATATTTGTAATGATTGATCGCTTTGGTACAAACCCGTGCTGTTCATCTAAAATCAGTTGTTCTTGTAATAGGAATTCTCTTAATCTTTCAGTTATGATCTTTTCCATGGCTTTACAGAGGATACTTGTCAAACTTATTGGTCTGTAATTACTAGGTCTCATCTTATCGCCGTTTTTATAAATAGGTACGACTGTAGCTTTCTTCCAATCAGCGGGTAAGCGTCCATCCTCCATGGATTTGTTCATAATGCTTGATATATATTCGGCAAGCAATGATGAGCACCGCTTTAGTAATATAGATGGTATTCTATCAGGACCAGTAGCAGTAGCATCATCAAAGGTTAACAAGGTCTTTAGTACGATTTTGGTTGTAAATTTTACGTCATCAATTGAGTTTGTTACCACTGGCATGTTTATGGAGGGAATTGGTCCATCTGGTTCTCTTACATAGCTATTAACGAACTGATCGGCAAACATTTTTTTTTTTGACGCGATTTTATGTGGTTCATCTACAAGTTCTTGTGACTCGGTTTTAAGCATGTTAGGAATGGTGACTTTAGAATTAAGTTGTCTTCTCATGTATCCGTAAAAAGCTTTCGGTCCAGAGTCTATGACATTTGTTTCAAATTGAGCTCTTCTATATTTTGACAGTTTAATATTTTAAGATTAATATTTCTAAATTTTCGGTACGAATCTTCTGTTTTATTAATAAATATATATATATATATATATATATATATATATATATATATATATATATATATATATATATATATATATATATATATTCCATAACACTTTTTTTAGTTTTGTTAAATCAAAAATTTCCTTATTTATCCATGGTTTCTTATTTGATTTATTTATTCTCTGTGACTTTTTACACAATTTTCAAGTGATGTATGTATTTGATTTTTAAATGATAGCCACATTTCATCTACTTGGTTTCCAATTATGTTATAGTTTTCTGTTTTCTTTAATTTTGTTATAGTCAGCTTTATAAAAATCAAAAATCTTTTTTATCGGCACTTTACAATCGTTATTAATTATCTGCATAGAAGCCATTATGACCAAATGATCACTCTTTCCAATGGGCGGAAGATACTTAATATCAGTTATTAAAGTTTCATCATTACACAGTATAAGATCTAGTAGGGATTCTGCATTATTACGTTTCCTTGTGATTTGTGTTACAAGCTGATTGAGATTACTGTTTGAATACATTGCTACAAAGCTTTCGCATAGCTTGTTATGTCCGGTTAAATTATCGAGAGGCCATTTTATATTTGGTAAGTTGAAATCACCTGCAATAATCACTGTCTGCTTTGAGGCTACCTTTTCTATGGTGTTAAATAATATTTCATCAGCACTTGTTAAAACATTTGAGGGAGGACGATACACACAAGCTAAAAGTAAATCTAAATATCCATAGTGTATATCTAGCCATAATGCCTCAACCAAAGAATTATAATATATTTTATTCACTTTTGATATAACAGGTACATTGTTAACGTCATGTGCAACATACATTGCTACTCCTCCCCCTTTTCTTTCTCTTCTGTCCAACCGGAAGAGCGTATATCCGTTTATATTTATAAGGCTGTCATCAATTCCAGAATGTAAATGAGTTTTTGATATCAAAATAAAAGCAGGTTTATGTATATTAACTTCAAGAAGAAATAAATCAAATTTTGCCATAATGGAAGCCAAATTCGTGTATAGTATGCGGAGTTCTGTGATATTATGACGTGCTAGTTTTTTGTAGTTGTTATAATCTTTGGTATGTTATTGATATATTTGATCGTAAGATTTTGCTCACCTTTTTCGGTTCTAGCCGCAAGTTCTTCGCGAAGTCTCCTAAGTTGATCTCTTTGATATGGTGTCATATCAGCCTTTACCTTAACAGAGTTTGGCAGCTTACCTTTATTTTTCAGAACATTTATAGCATTATGTTTATTGGCCAGGACTACCTTGATAGGACGCGGCTTTTCAATTTTGGATACAGGTTTACCCAAACGGATGACAGTGAGAATTTCCGGTTCTGGAGTTGCCAGTGACGTTATAGTTTTAGAAACCTGGTCTTTATCATGACTTTTTCTTTCTTCTGGTGAATTTGCTGTAGATTCAGGTATTCCAAACACAATAAGATTACGACTACGATTTTTTCTTTCCTGAATTTCATTTATCACTGTGTCCAAATTCACTACGTTTATATGGTTTTTCCTTAACTCTTGAACCTGCTGTTGAAGTTCTGTTACAAGTCTGCGAAGATCTGGAATCTGCCTTAGCCCCTCCTCGCAGTCATCACATAGGTACGACAATTTGGGTGTTTGGAGTGCAACAACACGCAATTCTGTTGCACTTAGTCCACTGCATTTAGTACATATTACTCTTTTGCAGCCTTTGCAATTGATCTTTGGCATCTTATCATCAATACGACTGTTACACTTGAAACACTGTACCATTTTTATTTATTGCCCCCAAATGGTAGTATGATTTAGGTAGTCTATTTTTCTTTTTGTGGCAACCCGGTATTGTCTATGGTCACTTTTTGACAGCTGACAATGTCAAATTTTACGAGGGTAGTAAAAGAAAATTTTAATAAATGGATTCAATCAAATGTAAAACACTATTTAAACACAAAAATAAACTCAATTCAAAGTCACAGTTTTACTATATTTATCAATTAACAATGTACTATATAAGTCAATCTCCAAACACAACACAAATAGCACTTTGATTGAACACTAATTCCCAGTGTTTTAATTTAATATGTGCAGAGCATGAAAAACACAAGTTGTTTCAATGACAATCAAAGACCGACCCTAGCATTTTGTATCAACTTATGCAATTATAATTATTTATTTATTTTATTTATGCAGTATTTCTTTTTCTTTGATATTAATTCAAGTTACACTTTTTGAGCGTGGTGACCGATAAGAAAACGAATTTTTTCTTTTATTAAATAAATAAATAATAAATGCACTTTGTTCATTCATATTCAAAACACTTTATACACAAATTTTATAAGTACAGCTATTCACTGTTGTACATAAATACCTATACACTTTCTCATAAACAGCTGCTTATGTATCCGTCCGATTTCGGAGCAGTTCGTCTCGATTCGTGCGAGCTTCGTAGAGTCGTACAATACGTCTAGTTGCACGCACACAAACACCGTGTCGAAGACTGCCGAAAAGAAACGACGTTAGACAATGCACGGCCTTCAAGCCACACCTCCGTGCCCGTCGGAGTGGGGAGCGTGAGGTTTTTTCGTTACGGAATTTCTGGATTCGGTCCCCGCGCTCAAGGCCCGCGATAGAAGCTATGCAATAGCTTAAAATAAGTTAATGAAACGCGATAAAATCCGTATAAATCGTTTTATTTAACCCCCTTCAATTTTGTGTAGATGTATAGACAATAACATCATTATTCACTCAAAACAGTTTCCAATTAAATAAATTAATAAAAAATTAAAGCAACAAGTGTGTATTGACACTTTAATACTTCATTTAATACATTCCGGCGTTGGGATACATTTCAGGCTCATATCAAAATTAAAGAGGCAGAGGTACTCCGCTCTACATATCATATACGGCAATATGGATGTTAAGATCGGCTTTAAATATTAAATTTCAATTTGATATACTATAGTTATGATATGTTTTATGGTAGGATATGCTTTGTGGATTTTTGATGGACTATAATGATAATACTATAGCTCGCATACATGATAAATTTACTAATTAAAAAGTGTTTAGGTTGCAAGTTTCCGGCAATTTATATCTGATCGAGACAAAGATCAGAACGATTGAGACATCGTTTGTCAAAATCTCATGTAGTGGTAGGTAAAAATATTAGAAGTTAAGTTATTCTTTCTGACATATTTGATTCACTCGCAAAGCTGCATCTGGGCATTTTCTATTACACGTGTTATATAGAAGACGGGTAAACTAGCATGCAGCTCACCAGATGATAGGTGTCGACCGCCGCCCAAACCGCCCGTGAACAACTGCTAAGTGTGCACGAAGTGCACTGTAGAATTGTTTGGGTTAATTCCATTTCATTCGCAAAATTCCACCTACTATTTTGAGTAATGTCACAGTGTACGACGTGACAGTACTCAAAATAGTAATTTACAGCCATTAGTATCCACTTACCATCAGGAGAACTGTGTCCTCGTTTGTCAATCATATTCTATAAAAAAATATCTTCTCGCAACGTCTTGATGGTTGGTAGTTCGCTAGCACTCGCAACATAAGAACACATTGTGGAATTTACTGTAGCAAGCGGTTTTTCTAGACCGATTCCGCTTAGTGACCTTTCAGAAATGGACCTACTTCTTTATAAAAATACTGACAACTCCTTGGTATTCCAGATGTGCGTATGCGGCAGTTGTCATTTACCATCAGGTGAGCTGAATGCTTGTTTGATTTTCTTCAATATCAAGAAAACATACGTACCATACAGACCGACTCATAGGCCAAAATATTGCTCTAATTTTGTGATAATCCGCGTTACGGATTACCATAGAAGGACAAGAGTAATTGGCATAGCCAAAAGGATCCCTAATCTTAAGTACCAATGGTGCGGCTCTAAGAATCAACTACCAATGGAGAAGAAAGGTTCTTAAGGTGCAAACACATAAAGTAAAAGCGTAATATTAGACGACCCCCACTAGACGCAGTGGCAACTTGATGAAACACGCAGGTAGTCGTAAGTTAGGTCGTTCTTTGTGGCAATTTATGGAGGTCGATTATGTTCAGCAGTGGAATTGTGATGGGCTGTACTTTTACTAAGAGTACCCCCATTAACGGATTCTCACCTTGTCATGGCGGGAGGGCTTAATAGCCTAAACAGGAACCCACATGGCTGGTTCGAGGTGGCCACTCCGTGAGGGCTTGGCGAGCCTACTTCGTATGTGCGCTGGTGGGCTGTGGCGAGAGGGTTGTCCTCTCCCCCAACCGCTGCAGTCGAGATGGAGTCGCGGAGGAAGAGGAGTGTTGATATGGCCATGCGCCACTCACCCTAACCTTCGCGACTCAAACGAGGCCGCACTGTTGATGCGGTCATGGTGGAGCTGTGGGGGAGAGGAGTGTCTGCAGCCGAATCACCAGGACAGGAGTCAATCAGGAGACATAGACCAGATCCACCGCTGGGGTCGGGAAGGCTAGTGCTTCTGAGTGCTCGTTTTTGCTGGCCCCATGGCCTTCACGCATAGGACATGGGGGCGTCAGTTGCGCAGGTGTAGTTGGAGGCCGTGAAGGAAGGCGCGCCATGTTTTCTGTTGCGCCTTACTTGAGAAAGAGAAAGGGGAGAATAGTCCTCTTCCGAGGAGGCACCGCCATGGGGCGGCCGGCGCTGATGGGGCCGTGGATTTCTTCAAAAGCTTTGTCATGATTCTGCCAATATGCTACGTAGACGGAACACCACGGGATTTTACTCGGTGCGCTCTTCTGCTCTGCTTTGTCCTACTCTACTTTGCTTTGCTCTATTCTATTTGATTTCAATGTATATTTTTCGGAAATACGATTTTAGCGTATAAATTCTCCGCGTGAAGGAAAAAGTACCAATACACCCACTAAATACAGGGTGTAGGTACAGTTTGCTTAAAAATTTGACTTCAATATTTTCGTAGTACATCACTGTGATATTGGGTTGTCTTCTAGCGTTTACTTAGAGAAATCGATTCTGTTTCTGCGTAGTAAGACAGTATCTACCCGTGTGCCGTTCAGCCACATCCTAGTACTGCGATAACGAGTTATCACAACCTTGATATAACATTTTGGCTGGTGTGCATGGCCTCTGCAACGACGTGTTGAATAGCACTATTTTCTAACATGTCCACGGCTCGTAACATTTGATCTCAACTCAAGTGACGACGTGACATGACTCTTAAAGCTCACACAGCGCTTTGAATTAAAAAGAAAAGTTTATAATGACGTTTATGTAAAATAGGATATTGGTGTGTATAATAAACACTTATATATAATTTATATTATATAATATATTTACCCACGCTGTCTCCAAATAGTGAAAAAGCTTCATCTTCGACACATGTTTATAACTATTCCCAGTGACCGTTGAATTGGAAAGAACATTGGTAAATTCTTTTTACGAAAAACGCTGCCCGTTTCTGTTACTTTACCTTTTCCGGATGAAGGATTTTTTTATGGAAATATTGTGATTTGCGAACTCGGATATTTTTGCATACTAACGTATTCATTCATATTTATAAAGCCAGTGAGGTAAAATGGAACACAGGTTCGATCTCCATCAGCCCAAATATAATTGTTATTTCATATATTAAGTGCTGACCAGATAACCAGTATTTATAAGGGATACAAATATTTCCAGGTCATATAAAGTTCACAAACACACATAGAAGCAGCGCGGTTTAAACATATGACAAATGAGCACAGTCTACCTGATGTTAAGTGGATGGCGTGGCCAATAAACATCTACATTTATCTTCGATTAAAAATCAAAATGCAGATGCGTTGTGATCTCTAAGGACTAAGATGTCATGCCTCGTTCCCAGTTAAAAGAATCAGCGATTTTTACACTCAAAATACGAAATACAGCAGCATTAAGCTAAATAACTATAATTCCTAAGAAATGAAAGATATCATTCGCCAGCAGTAGGGACTATATAGGCTGCCACTTCACTTTATAGTGGGGAATTTGTGTTAAAATATACTTCTGAATACTAACTGCACCTTTTGTAAATTTTCCATAGTATTTATACTTGTGGAATTTCACCTGTTAAACATCACACTACACTAGTGTACTCAAGTCACAAACCCAGGTAGAAATGTCGTTACCATATTTTTAGAAATATATTCTGAAGGAAAAAATAAATATGAATTTACAAATACGTAAAGTATTTCCAATATTTTCGTATGGTTGAAAATCCAATAAGACCGAATGGTCCTTTTTGAATCATATAAAATTCCAATGAATACCTCTGTCGTACTTCTTTACATAATAAACTTCTAGTGCATGGATACTCTATACCGAAGATGAGATATTAGTACTGCATCTAATGGTATACATTTAGGCACTTTACAAAGGCTATAGGGATGTAGAATGTTCTAGAACGTGTTTTTAATGCAAGAATTGATTTAATCGTTGTATCAATGAGCTTTTTAATATATTGGCAATGGACTAGCCATATATATTGAAGAACCGACAGTTGATAAGAAAAAATGGTTCTCGAATACCAGACTCATAACGATAAGCAAGTACCGCCACCGACTAGATGGAGTGACGATCTGGTTGCAGGAAGTCGATAGATGCATGTGACACAGGACTGTGTTTGTGGCGTTTGTTGGCTTAAACCATGGATTAGTTCATCAATAGATTGTGAAAGACACGTGGAGGTACTCTGCAGCTTCATCATGGTTGTAGCACGAATTGGTCT